TATATATATATATATATGGTATCAGATTGATCTGTGCACTGAGGACAAGCAAGTCCTAGGTTACAAACTGAACTCTCCAATGCAAGAACAAGATGCATTTCTTCCTTTAGGAGGTGCTATTGTCAGAAGAAAATAAAAAGGTTTCAGTTTTGTTTTTGCATGTGGGTGGGTATTCTGTTTGTAATAATTGTTTGGATACACTATATTTTTAATATGCTAGTTGTGATAATTTCATGCCAAGTAAAAATGTCCATAGTCATATTTTATGTTCCTAAAGTAACAGAATGACTTTCAATCTAGAAAAGACAAATGCTAATGTAGCATTTTTTCCAATTTTTCTGCAAATTTCCATTTCCCCCCGAAAAAACCCGAACTTCAAAATTTCCAGAAATTTTACATCTCTAGAGGTGACCCAAAGACAAATGTAATTCAAACAAATGGCACAAAACAGAATGAAAGGTCTTCCTTTATCCCCAATGACCCACATTTGCGTGATTCTATTTGATCAATGGAACGTGTCGCTAGTCAGGTGACCCACATCCAATCACATATGTTGCTAACAAGGGTCCTAACCAATCTGGCATGTTGCCAGCATGAGATCAGGTACTCTATAGCTCTACAGGGCTGATTTAAGCAAAGGCACTTTATCTCACCCATGGGTTCTTGCATTAGTAAGATGGAACAAGTGAAACTCCCTCCCCAGGTTCTCAGCCTTGAAGCCTCTAGGCTCAGTGACTACACTGGCACCTGTGCTGACTCTTTTCTTTATCTTGCTCTCTGATACTGCAGTTAGCATGACCCCGAGAAGAAAAACATGACGTGAAAGAGCCAATCAAAAATAAAATATTAGAAGTGGATCTTATGTTGCCAGTTAAGGTTAAAGACTGGTCCCAGCAAGGCTTGAAAAGGCTGCTGCCTGAAATTAACAGCTTTTGCTACACTACACATTCCCTTAATAGGCACAAGTATCTGCACAGCAGCATGCAAAAACAATGGTTCTTGCAGCATCTTAAAGACTAACACTACCATCCTCAGCAGAGAAACACCCTTCTATCATCAAACTCAGTGGGCTTAAAATGGTATAACTCTGATTAGGATGGAACTATTAGCCTTTAACATGCTGCAAAACTCCTTTTTATGTCTGCTTGTAACACACTAATGCAGCTACCCCATTGTATTAAGTAGAGTGCAAATTCCCTAACATTCCACTTTCCCAGCCTTCTATGTCTTTTAACAATGCTATTAGGGACAGTATGTTTCCTTCATCCATTTAGCAGACTGGTCGCCTCCCCTCCCTTCCTTTTGTACTGACTGATCATACACCAGGGAGAACCAATACAGTAATGTCCAATTTTTTGCATGGAGATTTTCATTCAGTGTTCCTTTGTCGAGGACCTTAAACAAACATGGAACATGTGTCCTTCCTTTCCCACTGATGTATGTGAAACAGCAACAACTTCTTTTATATTATGGAAGACTCAAACCATTTGTCTCTTGAGTTGGAGCCGGCTCACTAGGATGAAGTTCTAAGAAAAATACATATTGAGTTAATTTACAGCTCCTTTGAGTCTTGAAAAAAGTTTCTCTTTGGGAGTAGTACAAAGGAGGAATGTCATTGGCTAGGAAAACAATGTCTTCCAGAACCACAGGATGTTGCAGGTGGGGAAAGAAAGATAACTCTCTGGGTAAAATGATGCAATTAAGACTTCTCATCAAAGATGAACAGAATTTGTTTCTTGTCCAACAAAACCCACTTTTCAGTGAGGGTGGTCTACCCAGAGATTCACAGAACCAAAAGGATTCCAAGACTTTTGGGGTAGAGATTTTTTCCACCACTCTTCATAACTACTCAGTGGATGACTTGTGCAAGAGCTTGTCAGTTACAACTTAACTGCTCTCCCTTGCCATTACTGTGGAATGACTGGTTCCTGGATTTTCAGAGAAACTAAAGCTTACAAAGTAGGCATACTGATGCAGCTAACGGACATCTCAACTTCTCCTTCACTACATTTGGTAAAGCTGTTATTAGCAGCTGAACCAGCTCAGACAGTGAACTATACTATCATCTGTTGCAATTAATTTTCTACCTTACAAATAAGATGGGTCTATTTTAAAGATAGAATCAAAGATTTTCATATTATTTATTTGTTAGTTTTACTACATTTATACCTCCCCCTTTTCCCCAATAGGGAACCAAAGCTGCTCATGTCATTCTCCTTTTTATCCACACTACAACCTTGGGAGGTAGACTAGGCTGTGTGTGTGTGTGACTGGGCCAAGGTCACCCAGGAAACTTCCATGGCAGAGCAGAATGTCTTGATGGCAGATACCTGGAAGATGATATTCCCTAGAGTGCACCAAAGCACAGCACCTCCCAGACACCTCAAAATGATGGGTTTTATGATGGATTTGAATTGTATTTTTATGCATCGTGTAAGCTGTCTGAGCCTGCCTTGGTAGGAAGGGTGGGGTATAAATCGAATAAAATAAATAAATAAAACACTGTCCAAAGCGTGGGGAAGGGGAGATTCTCCCACCCATGCATTGGCTCCCTGGCCACCTGATGTTAAGAGTGATGGCACTTTTTTTGTTTTCCCATGGGTGAGGGTTAGGGTTGCAAACTCTGATTTAGAAAATCCCTGGAGATTTGGGGGTGCAGCCTGAGGATGGCAGGATCTGGGGAGGGCAGCAGACTACCTCAGCAGAGAACGGCCACTGGTTACTCACCGTGAAGGGTCCTTCTCCTCTGAGCCTTGGAGGACATCTTGTGGGTGACCATCCATCACTGGTGGCTGGCAGGCCCCACCTGGTGGCTGGCAACCCTAGTGATGGTAGGTATTTTGACACCTGTATTCTCCACGGGCCTTCCTTTTTTTCAGGTAGTATGCATATATAATCTTTGGTCTTCCAGCAGTTTCTATTAGTTATATGCACAGCTCAAAATGCTGTAACATTTTAATGGTCTTTATTTGCTATTTTCTAAATGTTGTTTTTCTTAACTAGAATGCTTTATCAGGTTTTCCTTTGAGATTTAAATCTGATTACCCTGTAACATTTTGAAGGAGGAGGATCTGGAGATAATTCTTTTGTTCATCATAAATTAACTCTTTAAGCTGCCTAAAATGGAGATGCATTGTTATTCAAATGAATCTCAACAGCTTTGCTATGGTACTTCAAGTAAACAGCGAAAATGATCATATTCTGCCCTCTGACAGATATTGAGAATTTCCAGTAGCTGCAAAAGGCACCTCATCCTTAGATAAAGACAAATAGTATAATCTTCAATGCAATGTAAAAATTATTAAAGCAATGAGAGAGGGTGGTGGTGTGTTTAGCACCAAGACTAGTTTTATAGTGCTATCTTTTCCAAACAGAAATGCGATAGGATATTTGTCAGACCTATGTCAATCGATATTGTGCATTATGACATAAGTCATAACACGTGCTTATCAAATGCAGGCTGCTGGAGACTAACGGTGCCATCTTAAGAAGTGTTACCCTCTTCTAAGTCAACCGTAGTCAAAAAGAGAATGTGATAAAAATCTAGAAAAGAAAACCCTGAAGAGAATACTCTCTCATTCACATAACTCTCAGATTATCAAAGATGTGCTTCATCACACCTACCTGCAATCCCTTGTAGCAGCCCACAGACATTAAAAATACTTTTCTTCATAATACTCTGCACACACATGGTGAAGACGGATACTAATGCGACAGCACAGAGTATCAAGATCCCCAGGGCTAGGAAAATTGCGGTAGCCTGCCAGAAGCCACTGGCAATCTCGCTGAAGTTCTCCGCATAGGGGCCACACTGTGTGTCTCGCCTGGAGTACGGCACGTGCTGGATTCGGGTGCAACGTTCATATATCCCCAAGGTTGGACGATACGGTTCCAGTGATCCTCCTGTCCCATTGTCTCTGTTGTGAGAGCTCCCAAATTTTGCCTTGCCAATCAACCAATCAGCACTCATGAAGGCTATGAGCTCTGCGAAAGCCACAACAATACTCAGGAGTGTCCACAGCATTGAGCGGCAAGTGACAATGACATGACACATATTGCTGTCCAGTGCTAGTACCTGGCGCAGTTCAGAGCCTGAAATCCAAAGTGTAAAAAAAAATTAGATTAAAAAGATCTTTGAAAAAGCCTGAATCCGCTCAGCTCTTCATCAGCAGAAAAGGGGATGGTATGTTCTCAACAGAAGTTAGCCAGGCAATGTTTCCTAGTCATTTGTTCTCCAAATGTACTCTTTCTTTTCCTCTTCTTTGGTTGCAGAGCACTGAAGTATGCATGTCTGTGTTAATATTCATACTGGCACATGACGTTACTATAGTATGTGGGAGGCTACTGAGGACAGCCTACTGATTTGACATCACATACCTAAGAGAGAGAAAAGAAGAAGGGTAAGGAGGGACGTTAGCAGGGAAAGAAAAGGGGAGGAAAAAAACATTTAATTCTACCCCCACAGTTTCTGAGAACAATCCAAGTCTTTTTTTCCCCCCAGCCAGGATCTAAATCAACATCTGATAGTTCTAACATGAGCTTGTCAGATGTAGTCGGCTGGAGACTTTCCAGGACTTTAAACCTCAGCAGGGTTATTAATTCCCTGCGGCAGCACTGTACTTACAGTATCAGTTCTACACCATACGACTTAGCGCTTGTTTGTCAGAAGCTTTATAAGTTTCACAGAAACTCTTAACCCCACCCACCCATTCAAATTCCTGCTTGAAAAATTACACGTTGGCAGCCTGTTGCAGTAATAAATGTTAACATGCGCTGCATAGAAGCAGCAGCTTTGAAGATGGAGGCAAAAGGTAATTGGAACATCATGATGTGTGTCTTTACCAAACATTACTTTAGTTATGTATAATTATTTACGGGTAGGGAAGTATTCATTGCAATGATACTAAAAGAATAATTGCCTGATGCACCTGAACAAGTCAGTAAATTTTCTGCAAGCACAGAACATCTTATTCCTGCTGAAGCTTCGCAGATCACTTCCTGTAATCTGCCTGGGAACCATACATATAACACTCCTTGGAGGAAGAATGGATATCAGTGTAATAAAAGATGTCAGATGTGTGGCTTCATAAAACGCAAGCCGTTCCATGTAACAAATCATTAATGTTCAATGGCTCACCGCACACGCACCCCATGAGTTCCTCCAAACCACCTCAAAAGGGATGGGATTTTGGTGGGTGGATGGTCCTTGCCTTTGAAGAGGGAAACAAAAGAATGGGCTGCCGTTAATTTTACACTGGATGATGAGTTTTAGTAACTTTTTGTTGAGGGGGGACGCTTGGTATGCTTTCTTAATTTTAAAAGGCAATAAAGCACCCCAACCTCTGGTTGCACTCAAAAAGAGTAAGGAGAGAGCTAATTCAGTTCACGACTTGACTTCTGGCAGGAATTAAAAGACAAATGGCGATCCTGTCAGGCAGACTGATGGACGTGTGGTGCAGACACACCCTCTGTAAATAACATGTGCTGAAAGATAACGCATTGGTTTGCCAAAACAGCAAATCCTCTCAGCATGTCCAGTTTCAATAATAAACCGGAAGGAAGGAACTGTAATAATAGTTTCTGTTGATGTCACCCATGCTATAAAGGAGGTGAAGAGTTTAATAGGAACTCTTGCTTAGGAAGCAATGAAATTAAATATTTTTTAAATGCAGTCAACACTACTTTGTTAGATCAGAACACAAACACGCATGCCACTACAGAACTTCATTTTGAAGGAAAGGTTTGATCGGAATAATGAAGAACAGCCACCAACGTACAGTTTGCTTCGCGCAATGAAATTGTTCACAGATACGCAGGAGAGAGCAAAGTGTGTTTATTTTACAAGGCGTGGAGGATCATCTGAATGCTGAAAGGAAAAGTAGTAAAAGCATGAATCATCTACCGAATGCAGTTCAGTGGTAGCAAGGAATGTACCTGAAAAGAGAGCCAGAAATAAATGCTAGTATAAGTGCCAGCTTACTCCCTAGATTTCAGAAATCAGAGTTTTGGGGTATGAGTCAGCTTCTGCCTACAGGGTGCAAATGGGTAGGGTGTGGAAGGTGTACACATTCCAAAAGATCCCAGAGTCTGGGTACACAACACTGCTGGCACCAGAATCCGGCACCTAGGAGTAGCGTGCGTGTCCCTTCCCTCCAGTACCACAACCATGATAAGGCAGGTTCCTATACAACAGACTGTGGCAAGGAATGGCAGAACCATTATACCTTCTGGCAAGGGCATGCAATGTCCCAAGCTCAGGCCCAGCCCTTCCGTACAGCTGTTCAGACTTCACAAAAAGACACTAGCTGCAGAGTGGCAGACTCAAAAGACAAGGTGCAGCTGAGGAGGTCATGCTGAGGTATGGGAATCTGTGCTACAATGAGGTACAGCACGCACCAGGAATGGACATGTTATCAGGTTCTGTCCTGAGGACACCCTTAGAAGTGCAAGGTGTTTTTTTTTAATTTTAATTAAAGTAACCCGTTCCTGTGAAAGTGAAACAATATGGAAATATTATGTTACAGCTGGTTATCCAAAACCTGGGGGTCTGTGAGGAACTGTAAAGGGCAAGAATAATTTAGTTATTTTACTTCATTTATACCCCACCTTTCCATCCAGTGGGGACTCAAAAGTGGCTTATATTGTTCTCGGGGTAGAAGTCAAAGTAATAAATAAATAAAAATAAATAAATATGTGATTGGCCTAAGGCCAGCCAGCAAGCTTCCATGGCAGAATGGAGATTTCATCCTGTGCCTCCCAGATCCTAGCCCGACATTCTATCCACTAAACCACACTGGTTCTCTGAATCACTGGCTCTCTGAATCACTGAGAAATTTACTCCTGCTCCAAAGCTTCTCCCACAAGATACTCAAGGCAGATGCCTTGAGCCATAAGTTAAGGCTGGAGATAAAAGTTTTAGTTGATAAAAAGTAGGGGTTGGAGCAGGCCATACTCCCCTCGTCCATCTTGGCTTTCTTCCACCCCCTCCTCAACTAATATTCAAATGCCCTCTGCATGATCAGTTCCCATTAACCTGATTTGGGGGGGGGGGTCATGCTTTTCTAGCATTAATCATAACCGTATTTATTTAGTTTTGTATTAATACAGAGTTTGTAATAGCCGATAATATCAACAACAGTTCTAAATGTAGCTCTAGAACTGAAGGAAGGGAGATTGCCTGTTAGCTGTACATTGTGGTGAAAGCCAACTGATTATTCTGGCTATTTTAATCAGTTCATAATCCATAGCATGACTTTATACTCTCCGTGCCAGAGCATTATCCATTTTCCACATTATCCATTTTATGAGTATCTTAGTTTGCTTTAGCAACTGCTCACCTTCTTACGAACAGTTCACTGGATTAATGGGAAGCGCCTTCCCTTTCGCTGAAAATTCTACATCTTTTTAACACAATCTGTATTGGCTTTTTCAATTACATTACATAAATAATAGGAGAAGCCATTGTGGAAAGACAGTTATCTTAATATCTAGATAATAAAAGACATTAGCTGAATTGTATTTGGGAGAAAATGTGATGTTTATTCCTGCTTTCAACTGCCTTAAAGACAAATTGGACTGAAGCACAGAGCCTATTAAATGATGTCATGGTGGTGGATGGCGGAAAGTGCTGTCCAGTTGCAGTCAACTTATAGCTTTTTAAGGCAAGAGATGAACAGAGGTGGCTTTGCCATTGCCTGCCTCTGCATAGCAACCCAGAACTTTCTTGGTAGTCACCCATCCAAATACTAATCAGGGCCAACTCTGCTTAGCTTCTGAGATCTGACAAGATCAGGCGACCCTGGGCCATCCAGGTCAATGACAACATATCCAAAATAAATTCAGAAGTGGAAGCAACTGCATGTAATCTCTAATGCACAGTATCAACAAGGTACTGGATATTTTATCCAATATAAACTGAATTGCTCCATATTATTCTTTCAGCTGTAACCTATTTCCAGTTTATATGATTCACGACCAAGTCCTAGGTGTATTCACACAGAGCAAAATAAGTACACCCCCCCCAAAAAAAACCCCAACATAAACTATTTATACCCCATCAGAGTAATGGTTAATCAAGATCAGATGATACGCAACAGCTCTCTATAGCGTTGGGGAAAGTCTCTTCTAGGAATGCCTTATTCAAGTTGCTTCCTTCTAATTGACTGCAGTTATTACATATGGCTGGATTCTTTATAAGTTTTAACAGAAACACATTTCTTCTTGTAACTCAAATTTACTTAACCAACTGGATTTAAACATTTAGGATCTGTACTGCTCATGCAGAGATCCTTCCACCCAAATATCAAGTAAGGAGAGAGCATCCCCATTGTATAATCAAGCAATTACAGCTTTCACTGTTGGCGTAGTGTTTCCTTTCCCTCGCCCTGTGTGTGCAACTATGAAAAACAGACAGTGAGATGCCACCTCTGAAGCCTTTTGGAGATTAACAACCCAGGACCTTCTACATCCAAAGCATGTAGTCTGCTATTGAACTAATACCCCTGACCAATGTCAATTTAATTTTATTTCTTCAATATTGAGATGTCTATATGGTACATTTTCCCATGTGTTAGCACTGCAGGTTAACATTATGATTCTGTGCATTTCATGTGCCAAAGACTTTCTTTCTGGAGGGGTTACACCTGACTGCAGGACTTAGTGTAGCAGAAACCATTAACAGTGATCTATTACTTCCTTGCTGAAGGCTGTCAGACCTCAGCGGTCAACAACAGTGTCACGCCCATGTACTTGTGTTATGCTGCAAGGGAGGACCTTTTGCAAGGAACACAACAGGCAGTCTGCAAAGACAGACTGCTCAGTAATATGAACTCTCAGAAGCTGGTGAAGGAGCTAAACAGGATTTCCAAAGATGGAGAACATCTCCCGCATAGCCCCTTAATCCATCCTAGGTTTGAGTCCAGTAGCACCTTAGAGACCACCAATATTTTTGGGATAAATTTCTCGAAAACTTATACCCAAATAATCTTATTCATCCCTAAGATACAACTGGACTCAAACCTAGCTGTTCTACTGTAAACCAAAACAGCTACCCTCTGAAACTTAATCCATCCTGTGACAAGCAGAAGCAGAATTATTCAAAATAAACAAATCCATGCAGATGTATTTACATTATACTAGTCAGGGAATTATATTTCCCCCCCCCCATTAAAACAAATGTTGGGTACTTTGGTACAGAACTTTGATTAATTTCAATACAAAGCATGCTAATCCCCAGAGGCCTATGTATTCAGTGCCTATGAGGTACTAATGTTCTGGAAGAGGTCTTTGTATAGTATCAAACTGCAACAGATATGGCTGTAAAAATCATATGCAAAATTTTGCACAGTCATAATTGGAACAACAAAGGAATTACTTTC